GAACCGATGAGATTTTGCAAATTTTATGCGTTTTTTTTTAAAAAAAAGTTATCAAGCTCTTAAAAAATCACCCGTTACGTGCATACCAGCGTTGCCATTTTAGCCGTTTTCCGGCTAGATTTAGCCGGTTTTGATAGCAACTAGCCGGAGAAAATTTGATCTAGCCGGCAGCCGATTTGTTAGCCGGTTTGTAAAAAAAAGTTAGCCGATTTTACTATTTGCCTAATTTTCAGGTGCAAAAAGTAAACAAGTTGTTCGAAAGCAATAATGCAGACCCAATGAAGATTTTTAATGAACTCAATGTTTTACTTTCGCATCTATGCTCCCTAGTGGTTATTAGCGCGGACACATTTGATCCTATATGCTCCCCGTTGAACCATACCTTGCTCCATTTCCTCAGTTTTATCGCAGTTTTGAAGTGTATTTAAAAACAAAAGTAAGCACAAATGCTTTTGACCACGAAGCCGAGAAAATAATTCGGGAAAATGGTCGCTATTTTATTATCACTTTAATAAAGGAATTACGCCAACGCCTCCCTACAAATATTGCCACACTAAAAAAAAGTGACTTTTTTCGGTTGGAAATGCATTAAGAGTAATTAAACCAAAAGTATTTGTTCAACTACAGCAACAAAAGCACAAATATAATGCCGACGAAATAACATCCATAGAGATGCAATGGCAACGGTTAACGTTACATACCTGGAGTAATTTAGACTCAACTGTAAAATTTTGGGCCGAAGTTTATCAATTTCGAAATGCCCTAGGAGAATACCCTTTTGCTGACCTTTCCAACCTAGTTTTTAGATTTCTTGTTTTGCCTATAAGTAATGCAGAAGTAGAGCGAATATTTAGTTCAATGAATATAATAAAAACTAAGCAAAGAAATCCAATGTGCGTTAAAACGTTAAACGCTATTTTATATATAAGATACGGTTTAAAACGGGAAGAAAAATGCTGCCATAATTTTACTGTAGATGACGATCTCTTAAAATTAATGAATTCAGGTGATATATACAATAGTGATTCATTTGATGATGAGGAATATACACTCGATATAAATTAATGGTGTTGACTAGTCTTTCGTTTCTTGCGATTTATTTAAATAAAGCATGTGAATTTTCACTAAAACATTTTAGCCGGTCGGCCCAAAAAGTTCTGGCAACACTGGTGCATACATTCATACTTACAATTTGCATATATTTATTTCCAACCCGTTGGCTTGGTTGTCATTGTGGTTGGTTGTTGTGGCGATTATAAACTTTTTTGTTCTCTTTTTTTTTCTGCGTACGTCCTTTTGATGGGCTTAAAACTTAGCAAGTGCGATTAAATTACAATGGTCTGCTGAATTCTAAATAATATTAATTTATGCAAATTTTTCTCTCTTTCTTTCAGCGATGGCAAAATAAATGTGCTGGAAACGTGGCTACACGAATTGCCCGAATAATTCAGATTTGATCAAGAAAAATTTACATAATTTAAATGGTTTGTCATTAAAATAAAAAAAAAACATAGTGATTTGAAGCTTATACTCGTAGATAGTGTTAAAAAGTGCAAACGATAAATAAAGGAAAGATATGTTTAAAATATATGTATGCAATATATTATACGCTAATATTCTGTTTTTCAACTCAGCTGTTAAATTGCTATTTCAAAACCTATACGCTTGCTACGGCTAAATACTCATTAAGATACAAATGAAGGCAGCTTGATATTATGACGTATAATTAAGAGGAATAAGGTGAGTGAAATTCTGTTTTTTGCATGGTAATAGTGTATTTAGCAGTTATTGATTATTACAAGGTATTTAAGTATAGTGAGTAATGGTCTGATTATGCATACTTCGCATAACTTCGCACAACTTCGCATAACCTTCAAATTGTAATTTCGAATGTTCTTTGTATGTATTTTTTATGTATTCCATTACCCAGAAATTAGCGGAACTTTTAAAAACTTAGCGATCTGTTTAGTTTAGAATTTGCTTCACATTTTCTTAAGTTACATTTTTATTGCACTGGTACAAATGGTTGTGAGAAGTTATGCGAAGTATGCATAATCAGACCTTAAGTGCATTGAACTGTACCAAACGCTTCGGAGAGCCGAAGTGAACCAGTTTCATAAAATGCATTTTTACTAAAATCCCAAATCGTCAAAACATCGCACAAAAAGAGTAATAATTTTTGCATTCGTGGTACTCACTCTAATGTCGCTGTGATTGGGGATGTCGGAAAAACATCAATGCATCGAAAATATCGAATTTTGCTTCCATGCATAGAAAATTTTCCACTCGATGTATACACAGTCGATGTATCGATGCATCGATGTTTTTGGAAAACTGACACCTCTAGTACATTGAACCGCCATTTCAGTTTTCAATTGTGCAAAAAGGAGACCTTGACCAACAAATTTAAATGGCTCCAACAGTACCGTTAGAAACATAATTAGCTCAATTACGGTCATTAATTTGAACTTTGTACAATTTTTCTAATATTTAACATATTTTCTTGTGAAATAATATCCGAAAGATGGTATGGAAATCGATACATCGAATCAAAGAAATACATCGATGTATTTTTGCCACTATTACCCAGCTTACGGATTCGTAATCAGCACAGGGAAGTCAATCAAAAACAGCTTTAACATTTGCCGCAACAAAATCACTGTTGCCTTGTGTTATTCATTCAACTTCATCCGAAATCTAACTGTAAATAAATTTTTTTAGTTTGCTGAAACCACAAACAGCATGCCACCAATTACCAATAGTGCTCTTAAATACAATCGAGTACCCTTCGAAAATTCTCTTTTGGTATACGTATGTTTTTCAAATTGGAGCAAATAAATGTGCTTTGAAATCAAATGAAGAATGATTTTTTTCTGCAATAGCATTTAAAGCACTTCAGCAAACATGCAGCTATTGTACGTGGAAGCTAAGATGCATTGTAGACAAAGTTTATTCGACATGCGTTTATTTTAAATATCTGCTGATTTACTATATGAATTCGTTCTTAATTTCGATTTTCGTTTAGTTAAAATGTGATATACATATATACATGTATTGTTGGTAAATGTTAGGCAAGCAAAAATCTGTTAAAAAGCTAAGCAAAAGCAACTTTTAAGAAAAACACACAACCTACTTCCATTCTAATAAAAAATTTAGAAGAACCGATTTGTTCTACATGATCAGGGTTGCCACTCTTTGGTAAATTGTTACCAAAATTGGTAAAAAAAATTTGGGTTGGTAAAAAGGTAAATTTTTTCTCATTTTTGGTAGATTTTTGTTGAACTTTTCGTTCCCGATTTATTTTTCGTAGTTATCTTTATATTATAAATTTCTTTGCATACTTTTTATGTACTTACATAAGTATAAATGTATATCGATATAAGGCGAACATATCGTGCCCCACTCAAAATGATTATTTAAATACATATAAAGAAAAAATTTACAGGTATGTAATGACGCACTATGATTGTTCGCAAAAAAATTAAATCAACGCAATTTTTTATCAATAGAAATTGTTAAAAAAAACCACAAAAGACTGGCGACAAAAAAAAATCAACGGGAAGCACATTGTGAGCTATACTCAAGTATTATTTGCTTTAAATACTTTACATTGTTCTAAAAATTCAGAGTAAAATATTCAAAGTTTGGACGAACATTTTTTGAATTTTTCTAAATTTTGTATGTTGATAGTTTTAATCCGTAATTTTTATGGATTTAGTTAAAGCAACCAAAAATTTGTGCTTGAAAAAGATTGCGAATAATAAAAAAAAACCACCAAGTGCCTTTTTGAGTCACTGTATTTGTCTATAATAACTCGAGTTGAAGTTTTTCAAATTATGAAGTTTCGTTGTTGCCTTTAGTTTAAGCACTTCCGCTTTCTGTTGAAGGAAACTGCGAATATGCCAATAATATGACTGAAATACCGTATAATTAGTTAAATAAAAAGTTCCTTAAAAACAATTTTAATTCTTATTGAAATAACTAAAAAATTAAAAAAAACTATAGTTTTAATTAAAATAAATAAAAATAACAAAACTATAGTTTTTATTTAAACAACTATAAAAACTATATTGGTAGATATTTTCCAGATTTGGTAGATTTTTCTCAAGTGGATTGTAAATTTTTTTTCGTCAGTGGCAACTCTGTACATGATATAAGTAGTACACTGTTCTCTTATATGAAACGGGTTAAAATGTTAAACCTGTTTTTAATTGACTTTTCAGTGCTGATAACGAATCCGTAAGCATAAAGTTTCCATCAGCTCCAGACGAGGTAAAATTGTCAAAAAATCGCGTCTTTTGCAATATTTTAGAAGCTCTAGTAAAGAAATAAGAGGTTATAGAACCTTCCTGGCTAAAATTAAAGCTAGAACTGAAGACTATTTATTGCCTCTAAAAATACCATTCCTTCACTTTGACTTGATGCTCACATAGTAATTTGTTATGTACTTTTATTTGTTTTTATTTTGTTTAAGAAAAAATGAGGGAGAAGTTGAATGAAATTTTTGAACGTTTATTATAGGTTTCCAAAAGAAGTGTCCTTGACATTGGTTATTGTGTTACACCAACTGAACATTTAATTCTTGTAAAAAAATATATATATTTCCCATGATTACAGAAAATTATAAAGATTGTAAAATATTTAAAACTATTAGCACCAGGAGCTGACACTATACTCGCTAGTATAATTTTTAATTTGGTATATTTCAGAAAATAAATAATAGCTTTTAAAATCCAAAAAAAAACTTTTTTTAAAAGAAAAAACGTGTAATGTGGGAATGTAGGACTTCACATAAAACGTACATTTCATAAAACGTAAGTTTCATAAAGTGCACGCAATCCTTTTATAGAAAGGGGTCAAAGTCCAATGCATACTAGTATAATATATTTTCAAACACAATATTTGACAGCCATTTTTCTAATATATTTATTGGTCTCCATTCACAGAGTTCATTTGTGCTGAAATCGCAATTTTAAATGACTGTCGTTTTTGTTTTTTTAATAGGTGGTTCCCATTAGCCGGTTCGTTCCCCCAATTACAAGGAAAATCAATCGACACCATTAGGCTATTTTAATAAAACAGTTTTGTTTTTGTTATTAATGGCTTTTTAGCAATTATCTTCAACAATATTTATTGAGCTCCAGGCCGTTTGTAATGAAAAAATGTTGTGGCAAAACAACCCACAATTTATAGCTACTATCAACACATCTCCTCATCAGACTTCTTCACCGCTGTCCCTGGGATATGAACCATTAGAAACGGCCTCAAGCTCAATAAAAAATGTTATGATCTTATATGCATTTTTGTATGTAATCATTTTTATTGCTATATTCCAACACATACATACGTACTTATATATGTACATTTGTATTTCGAGTGGATAATAAAACTATCTAAATTTTGTGACTACATACATACATATAACTTTCCTTTTTATCCTCTGCTCCAGTTGTTCATACATAATAGTAAAGCTGAAATTAGTCGAGAACGCAGAACGTGTACTTAAACGCAGTCTGTATACGCAGAATTTTGTCGATTACTGGAGCCCTCAGTGTTGCTTACTACACTGTTGCCACTCTTCAATGCCTTTTCATAAACTTACCCTTTCAACCACAATTTTTCGTGCTGTAATAGATTGTAGCTAAATATAAACTACTTAGTTTTAAACAAAAACCTTATTTAATAGTAAATTTCAAATATTTTAAACATATTTTGAATAGGAACTTATAACTTTTTTACCATCTGCAAAACTGACGAAGTGGCAACCATATAAAGAAGGAGAAATCAGCTGACACGGAAAAATCTAAATTCCGCAGATTTCTGCGCTACGGGCTACAACTACAGAAAAATTCTGCGGCGTTGAGTTTTCATTTACATGGCGCTTTGGTAAGACAGATCGTGTCAGCTGACTCGGGTTTACGTACCGGTAGGTTTACGTTCTTGACTAATTTCAGCTTAAGACTTTATGTACGAACTTGTTTATTTTAGTTTTGTGTATGAATATGTTCCGAATATTACTTTCATTATTTCTCCTTGTTTTTTTTTGATGTTGCTGTATTTTGCACCGCCGGTTGGCGTTGCTGTGGCAGCCAGTGCTCCTTTATTGATGTTATTGGGTTGTTTGAGCCGAACCAACCACCGACACCGATTTCATTGCGCTCCAGTTGCTACCGCAGTGACTGGGAAAGCACAAATACTCGAACTTATTTTTAGAAAACACAATCGGCACTACACACACACACGTACATGTTTTTGTTTTATAAGTATGTGAGTCAAAGGACATTTATGTTTTAAGTATTGTGAATCTACTTATCCTCTATTCGTATGCATCTGCTTGCTACTCATTATCCCTTTCATATTTTTCCTTTATTTTATCAAACAATATCTCCATTATCTAGGTCGTTATTAGGGTTTTTCATGTTTTATTGTTCAGAAAGGCAAAAGCGCATCTCCTTTGAATGAACTGAAACAAACCCAAATGTAGCTGCTTCGAATATGTACTCTTATCTACATCTATGTATTACCTATGTATAAATATTGGATTATTTAATTGCAAAACGGTCCCAGTTGCATTATTTAGATTTATGTGTTTTTTGTGTTTGTTACTATTCTGTGTTAACCCAGAATTTGAGGGGTTAGAATGCGAAAATGGGGGCCGATGTTGTGTAGTGCGCGCTACCAATCCTCAAGGCCTGGGTTCGAGCCCAGTTTTCGACTAACATCAAAAAATTATAAAAAAA